AGCATTCATTGTGAGAGGCCGAAGCAAAACAAGGGGAGGAGTAAGACTCTTCATGGTTGTGATCAAAGCCGTGACAAGTCAAAAGATGGTTCTTTTTCAAAGAAAGACATTGAGTGCCATTTTGCCATGAGAAAGGGCACATGAAGCGGGAATGCCAAAAGCTCAAGAATAAGGAGAAAAGGCGTGACAAAAGTGTGGATAAGAAGCAAGAAGACACAACAACAGTTACTACCGATGATCTCATGGTCGTTGTGAAGATGATTGTATCAATTTTGTGGGCCAAGAGAGCAATTGGGTGATTGATTCCGGTGCTTCTTTTCATGTGATTTCTCGAGTTGATTTCTTCACTACCTACACCAAAGGAGATTATGGTTCTGTTCGAATGGGTAATGAAGGTTTGTCCAAGATTATCGGCATGGTGATGTTTGCTTGGAAACAAATTTGGGCTGTAAGTTGTTGCTTAAAGATGTGAGGCATGTTCCCGATATTCACTTAATTTGATCTCTACTGGAAAGTTAGATGATGAAGGCTTCAACAACAAATTTGGTGATGGAATATGGAAGCTTACAAAGGGTTCTTTGGTGGTGGCTAAGTGCAAGAAGACTTATACACTTTATTCGATGCAAGGAAAAATTTGTAAAGGTGTTGTCAATGCACTTGAAGATGATACTTCTACCGAATTGTGGCACAAGCGGCTTGGCCATAGAGTGAAAAGGGGTTGCAAGTTTTGTTCAAGAAAGAGCTTCTACCCGGTTTGAAAGGTACACATTTTAAAACTTGTGTTCATTGTTTGGCGGGTAAACAACATAGAGTTTCTTTTCATAAAAATGTTGCTTCTAGAAAAGAAAATGTTTTGGAGTTGATTCATTCGGATATTTGTGGTCCTTTAAAAGTTAGAATGTATAGTGGTGTACTTTATTTTGTTACTTTTATTGATGATTATTCAAGGAAAGTTTGGGCTTTTCTACTAAAAACTAAAGATCAAGTTCTAGAAGTATTTAAGCATTTTCAAGCCATGGTTGAAAGAGAAACAGGACAGAAATTGAAGTGCATCCGATTAGACAATAGTGGTGAATACATTAGGCCATTTGATGAGTATTGTCGCAGCCAAGGTATTCGGCATCAAAAGACAGTTAAGAAGACTCCTCAACAAAATAGAGTTGCCGAGAGGATGAACCGCACCATTGTGGAAAGAATAAGGTGTTTGCTTTCACTAGCTAAATTGCCAAGACCCTTTTGGGGTGAGGCATTGAAGACAGCGGTTGGCATGATCAATTTGTCTCCTTTCTATCCTTTGAATGGTGATGTTCCAGAAAGAGTTTGGACCAGCAAAGATGTGTCTTATAAGCACTTGAAAGTGTTTGGTTGCCGAGCTTTTGTTCATATTCCAAAAGATGAGAGGTCCAAGCTTGATAGTAAGTCAAGACAACGTATTTTTCTTGGCTATGAGCGTGATGAATTTGGGTATAGATTGTGGGATCCGGTCGACAAGAAAGTCATTCGAAGCCGTGATGTTGTGTTTCTTGAAGACCAAACAATTGAAGACTTTGACAAAGGTGATCAACCAGAGCCAAAAACTAGTGATCTCATTGACATTGATCCATCTCCTTCGTCTTCAGTAGATAATGAAAATGGGGGAGATGTGCAGCCACCTATTGAAGATATGTAGAAGATGATGCTAATCCTAATGAAGTTGAGCCAGAAATTAAGGAAGAGCATCCAACTTAAGAACCGCCACCACAACTTGAGTTGAGGAAATCTACAAGGGACCAACAACCTTCAAGAAAGTATCCTCCCAATGAGTTTGTGTTGATTTATGATCAAGGGGAGCCTGAGAACTATCAAGAAGTAATTGAGCATGCAAAGAAAGGTGATTGGAAAAAAGCCATGGAAGAAGAGATGAATTCTTTACTTGAAAATCACACCTATGATTTAGTGAAGTTGCCTAAGGGGAGGAAAATTTTGAAAAATAAGTGGGTCTTCAAATTAAAGAAAGATGGCAAGAATCTGAGGTACAAGGCACGTCTTGTTGTGAAAGGCTTTGGGCAAAAGAAAGGTATTGACTTTGACGAGATTTTCTCACTGGTTGTAAAGATGTCTTCTATTCGGGTTATACTTGGCATGGCTGCAAGTATGAACCTTGAAGTTAAGCAACTTGATGTGAAGACCGCATTTCTTCATGGTGATCTTGAAGAAGAAATTTACATAAAGCAACCAGAGAGTTTTATGGAGAAAGGGAAAGAACATTTGGTTTGTAAATTAAAGAAAAGTTTGTATGACCTCAAGCAAGCATCATGACAATGGTACAAAAAATTTGACTATTTCATAATGAATAATGACTTTTCTAAAACCACTTCGGACTATTGCATTTTTTTGAAAAAAAATTCGGATGGTAAATTTATCATTCTTTTGCTTTATGTTGATGACATCTTAATTGTGGGTCAAGATTATACCATGATTAACAAGTTTAAACTAGAGTTGAGCAAGTCATTTGCTATGAATGATTTGGGACTAGCGAAGCACATACTTGGTATGAAAATTGTTCGTGATCGCAAAGAGGGACTGATTTGGTTGTCTCAAGAAAGCTACATTGAGAAAGTTCTTGAGAGGTTCAACATGAATAAAGAAGCTCGGCTCATTTACTAAACGAACCGAGTCGAGTCGAGCCCTTAGCGAGCCGAGCCGAGCTTGTTTATAAACAACTCGGTTCATTTGCAACCCTAATCCTATGATTGTTTAGTTATGAGATTAGATATGTGAATTGGACTATTCTGTCGAATCCTATATTTGTTTAGTCATGAGATTTGATATTTGGATTGGACTATGTTGGTGTGGTGAGTCGGTTTCTCTCTAATCCGGGTAAAGAACATTGGGCAGCGGTAAAATGGATTCTCAGGTATCTTCGAGGGACTTCGAAGGTGTGTTTGTGTTTTGGGGATGGTAAGCCGATGCTTGATGGGTTCACAGATTCTGACATGGCCGGTGATATTGATTCTAGAAAATCTACTTTGGGGTATTTGATGACTTTTGCAAGGGTAGTTGTGGCATGGCAATCTAAATTACAAAAATGCGTTGCTCTCTTAACTACCGAAGTTGAATTTATTACCATTACGGAAGCTTGCAAAGAAGAGTTATGGCTGAAGAAATTTTTGCAAGAGTTGGGTTTGAAGCAAGAAAAGTATGTGCTTTATTGTGATAGTCAAAGTGCTATTCACTTGAGTAAAAATTCTACTTTTCATTCGAGATCGAAACACATTGATGTGAGATACCATTGGATTCGTGATGTGTTAGATTCGAAATTGTTGCAACTCGAAAAGGTTCACACAGATGATAATATTTCGGATATGTTGACAAAGACTTTGTTGAGGGACAAACATTTGAAGTGTCGAATTTTGGCGGGTATGGTTGATGTCTCCACCTAAGTCGGTATGGGGAGAATTGTTGGGTATACCTCCTTATTGAAGTGTGGGACCCAATTGGTTTATTAAAAGAGTTTAATTTGATTTGGTATTAGTTATAATATATTTTTATATATTATATCTAATTTGTGGAGACCCAATTCAATTTGGATACAATTAAGGTTTGATTACAAAACTCAAGATTCAATAATATATATCTAAATATATATTGTTTCGAAGTGCTGCGGCTGATTATGTTTCAATGCATTCTCGGTGGTGGTGCTGTGTGATTTGCAAATTTGGTGTTTGGTCTCTGACAGCTCCGGGTGATTATTTTAGCAAGGACGAATTCATTGGTCTTTGTGAGATTCGGTTAATTTGGGTTAATTATTTTGGATCTTCTATAACTCTGGTTCTGAAGATTTTTGTTCATTTATTTGGTGAGATCTTTCCTCTTGTTTATTTGTGATTATTTGAAATTCACCTAAGGGTGGTTTGTGAGATCATTCGTGTCTTGTTTATAATCGTTTGGAAACTTATTTGGTTGATAGTGGAATCGGATTTCGATCCCGTGAACGTACCTCATATTGAGGGAACCACGTAAAAATTCTTGTGTTGCTTTTGATTTAATTTTTTCGCATTATTTTTTATTCCAATTGATTGATTTACTTGTGGGGAATTACATATTTTCCCTAACAATTATTAAATTATTGACCAATTTGCCTTGAAACAATATTTATTTGTCAAATTTAGTTGAACTTGTAGTTGGTCTTTTGAAATTAATTTATTACTGTTGATTAGTTGCTAAATTTGATCTTTTTTGAATAACTTTATTAAAATTAAGTTGTAACTGAGTGAATCAAATTATCAAAATTAAGCTAAATTTTTTGATTTTATTTTTTTATGTAAAATTTGATTACTTTTTTTTATTTTTTATTGTCATTTATTATGATGAAATTGGTATGAAATAGACTCATGTTCGATCTATATTAATAGGAATGGAGTGGGAGAAACGCAAGAGGGGAAACTAACTTGGCGCCATTTGGATGAAACATTTCTAAATATTGATATAACAGTCATATGATATGACATCATCATTAATCAATGAGAAATTTCACATTACCATAGAGAAAAATTATATTATTAAGTTTATCCATCTAATCTCACTTACAAATTTATATTGGCCTATGATGCTGTTGCACTCAATATTTGTTCAATTTTCATATTACAGATTCCAATATAAAAATAGAACAAAATTATAAAAAAATAAAATAAAATCCAGAGAATATGAATAATAGCTGCAGTAATAGAAATCTGTATCAATTCACTAGAGTGGTAACAAGAAAAGGTTTGCCAAGCAAAGTCAACAACGAAATGGACTCCAAATAACCATGATCAAATATTACATTAAGCTTAAATCCCACTTATTCCAAATTTATTTATTTTATTTTTAACCTGTCGTTTTTCATTCCATTATTCTTCTATAAAGATAAAACTGAGGAACATTATATTTGTCATTGGATTAATTTTCTACGAGATTTTTTTCACTTCTTACATACATCAGACGTCAAAAAAAAAAAAAAAAAAAAAAAAAATATCAAGTGATAGTGACATATATCATCCTTCTTTATTAGCTAGAAAGCACAGCAAACACAACATAAACGAAGATAAACAAGTAGGTGAATTGTGAATCTAACATTTCAACAATGTTAGATACATAAAACTCATGTACAGAAATACACCAAGAAAATTATTATGTACTGATATTCATTTTATATTTTTATATATGTGGACTCCCACAGTACGCGAGTTGAATCAATCACACAATAATTTTTGAAGTATTTTTCTGTGCACAAGTTTTGTGTACGTATCTTTTCTGCTAACTTTTTTTAAGGGCACTTGGGCTTGTTTGCAAAAGTACCAGAAAACACACAATAGTTGCAATCCTCGCAGCATAATTTGCAGTCTTTGAGGCACTGAAACTTCTCTTTTGCATCCTTGCACCTCACTTCGCACTTTGAGAAACAAATACCTATTAATATACCACCAAACATAACACAAAACCAAGTTCGTTTCCATAATAGTAATTTATAAATTAATAGACATATTAATAAGCATAGACCCACAACTCAACTTAACTCAATTCAATTCAACGTTGTAATATTAATACTCTGTTTGTTTGAACAGAAAATATTTTTATCAAAAAAACAATTTTCAAAAAATATTTTTCATTGAAAATGATTTTATTTTATTTTATTTATGTGTGTGTGTTCGGTTACGGCTTTGACACTAACATACTAATGGTTGTGCTGGTGTGGTAGTGGTGGCAGAGTGGCAGTGAAATGGTAGTGACTGCAAGAACAGTAGCAGTGGTGGTAGTAGGGTTATGGAGGTGATTGTGGAGGTGATTGTGTAATAGTGTTAGGGGTGGTGGTTGCAACGGTGACGGTGGTAGTAATGTAACATATAGTGGTGTCACTAACCGATGTTTTAAATTGGATGTTTTAAATTGAATTTTAACGAATTTTATGTCATTGAAAAACTCTTTCAAAATACTTTGAATTGGTGGTGTATGTTGGTAACACTTTAGCTTAGTAAGTGAAAAACAAATTTTTTTTTTTGGCTCAAATAAACTTATTTTCACAAAATATGTTTTTGTTAGACATTAGTTTTCCCATCGTATCAAACCACAAAAAACATTTTTCAAAAAGAAACTTTTTTCCGAAACAAACTGTGAGTGTAAGTTAAAGAAGAGACATAATAGGTTTTATATGCTAAAAAATAAAATAAAAATGGAGCTAGCATGTATGTTGGAAGGGTCTTACTATCGATGGTGGATTCAACAAAAGAAGAGCTGAGGAGCAGTGTAACAAGAAGCGATGTAGCAAACACAAGTTTCATCTTTTTTCAAGCCTTAAGTGAACAAAAGCTAGAAAGATGAGAATGTATGCTTCAGAATTTAGGAGTTGATGACAATATGAGTTCCTGTGTGCCTGTTTGTGTCGCTATTTATATAAGGAATTGAGTGAGTACAACTCAACCGTCTGTCGTGGAAGTTTTATTTAGAGAGGTTGTCTCCGGTTCACCATTTGGGTTGGACGGTTCATTTTTAGATTGTCATTTTACACTAGTCTTATTTTAATGATATATTTATTTATTTTATGGTTATAAATGTATAAATTATTCGTAAAAATTTAGACTGATTCAATAATCACAGTCATATAATCTCATCACATTTAGGCCAAGTTTGGCTACAAAGGAAAAAGTGCACTTATTTCATCTTTTTATCTTTTTTGGGTCACATCAATCAACATCTCCTCTCTACTTTTTCTACACATAATACAAAAAAAGTCAAAAAGTACACTTATTTAGTCTTTCCAAACTAGGCCTTAAAAGTCGGTTTTTCCTAAGAAGAATGTTATAATTAGTTGGTTACCCATTGTTGAATCAATTAATATTTTATAAGAAATTTATTAAAAAAAATCATCCTCCAAGTACTTATATTGCACGTAGTTCTTATATTTTTATAAATCCTTTTATTTTGGACATTTAATCCATTAAATCTTAATTTTCATATTTAAGATATTTTATGAATAATTTTACTTTTAGAAATATTTTTTGAACCCTTAATAACTTAGTAATGTGAATATTCACATTAAATATATTTGACAGTGTGAATGTTCACATTATAGAACATTCACATTATTAATGTGAACATTAATGTGCGATTATAGGTATTTTGGTAATTATGTTATCTATAAGACTTATTAGAACATAAAAAAATAATTTAAATTAAGTGAAATATAAGTAGGTGAAGAGAGATTTATGAATAAATGCCCCATATTTTATTTTTATGAATAATATACATACAAAAAAGCTTAAAAATAAATATTTCATATCATCAAAATGAAAACTTGTAGCGGCTCCATGAATCCAGATTGAAATCTTGGATGAAAGACAATCTATTTATTTATTTATTTTCAGCAACACTACATGACTCACACTCTATAAAATTTAAATATATCACACATTCAAATTATAAATATTTTTCTTGATGTTTTTCTAAGGTGTTTTTTTCTTTTAAATATATATATATTTTGAAATGAGAAAGGGGTGTAAAAATGATCCGCGGCCCGAATCCTGCTCGTGGCTCGGGGTGGGCCCAGCCCGCTTACGCTTGGTTAAGCTAGAGCCTAGCCTGGGATCCTAGGCCTAGGCTTGGGCCATCATTTTGAAGTCTGGCCCAGCCCATGGGCCCTGCTTGTGGCCCGACCCATCGGTCCGCCCAAGGCCCACTCAAAACCTGGCTCGAGACCTGGCCCGCCCAAGATCCAATGTCATTTGTAGTGGAAAAGAATAAAATTTTGGTTAAAAAAATAGAAAAAAAAAAATGTACAGGCCCATCCAGGCCTAAGCCTGGGCTTGGACCTTATTAATCATGTGATTTAATTTTGATAATGTCTAAAATATTTTAGGATAAATTATAATTTTTTAATATACATATTTTATATATTCTTTGGTATAAAATATTATCTGTTAAAATATATGTTGTATGATGTATTTTTGTTAAATATTATTTAAATGGGAGTTATTGTGCAAGATTAAATATTTTGAAAATTTTACTATTCACGTTTTGGAAATTTTGCTGATCACTATTCATCTTTTAACAAATTTGCTATTGATTGGTTGTATTTTTTTGATAAATGTGATATTGGTGAGTTGTTTTTTTTTGACAAAATTTGATATATTCACATAGGATGATTGATTATTTTTTGTTAGAGATTATCTAAAATCTCTAAAATAATTACAAAGATTTTAAAATGTGTATATATTTTCTATAAATATTATTTAAAGCGATTTTACTATGCATACAAATATTTTAATAGAAAAGGTACCATACAATTAAATATTTTAATAGAAAAATTACTATGAAAGTTATTGTGCACTCTTTATTTTTTACGAGAAATGATTGAAAAAATTGAATTATTATTTATCGAAAGCGACATTTGCCTATATTATTTCGCCCTACGCCTACAAATTTGAAAAGGACATTTGGCCTGTTGCTCCGCGTCAGAAGCATCGAATTCAGCATGAGGAATGACCACTCCTCCAACGGATATATAATAGATATATTTTCTATTATATATTAAAGTGTTTTGGTGTGAGAAAAATAAGAAGTGAAGAAGAAAAAATGTGTGATATTGAAATATTCTCAAATATTGTATTGTACTTCATTGAGTTATATTTTATGTGAGAAAATTTATTTAGAGTTTGAGCAAAATTGTAAAACGGTTTTCTATCCCTCATTCATATTATTCTTGTAAAAAGAGAGTTTTTGTGAGTGATTTTTTTGAGATAAAATAACTTGGGTTAAATGTAATTAGGCACCGGATTCAAAACTAGTTGAGATATTTTTGTAAGTGATTTTATCCCACTAGACACCGGATTCAAAACTAGTTGAGATATTTTTGTGAGTGATTTTTTAGAATAAAATTACTTGCATTAGGTGTGACTAGGTACCAGACTCTAATCTAGTCAGAGTGATCGTGATTGGTCGTTTGTTGTAAATGTTCACTAGTACCCGTAAAGCTAGTGGTGTAATTATTATTTGAAGAATAGTGGAGAAATTTCCGAAGAAGATATTTGGGAAGTAGAAGTAGGTTCGGTCTGTTGAATCACCATAAATCGTTGAGTTTGCTTTCTCTTCTCTTTGTTCATTTTATTTTATTACTCTATTTTATATTGTTAAACATATTTATTTATTTATTATTTGTGTTAATTTTTAATTTAGTAATTTTTTAGTAACCCAATTCATTCCTTCTTAGATTGCCTACTTGAGATAATAGATTTAATTTTTTGACTTGTGAAATGATCTAGATTTTGGCGAAAATCCAAACAACCTGACCTAGGCCAGCCTAGTCTGGACCCCAGTGGGCTAAGTCAGGCCGAGCCTAATTTCGAACCCTAAAAACATTGTGTTTAATGGAGGAGAGAGAGAGCCGAGGCCTGACACATGAAATATGATTAGTTAAATGCATATAAGTTTATAAGTTGTATTTATATACAATAATGTTAGGTATCATGAAAAATCTTTTATGAAAATAATTATTAAAGTTTTGTAACTCTTTGATTATATTTAGAATAAAGCACCATACACTAATTAAGATAATTTAAGAATCATAAATCTTTAATGATTATTTTCATAAAAAAAATTTCATAATTCTTAATTTTTTCTCATTTATATATAGTGACCCAAAAAAAAGTTAAGGTTGGTTGAAATATGATTATTTATATTTTTTTTCATTATTTCATTCCTTCGACTTTCGCTTTCCACTAATTTTTGTTCTGAATCAAAGGAAAGCTAAGGTTATGTGGCTTCTCAGCAGTCTCCATTCAGAGCTGGTTACTTTGGAAATTGTAACCCGTGATTTGTCAAACTACCTTAATTGCGGATCACATTATATTGGATTCAGATCTGGTTACTTTGGAAGTTGTGACTGTGATTTACCCTAATTGCGGATCACATATTGGATTTCGAGGATTTCCTAATATATATCTATATTAATAAGTAGCACTTGCTGTTTAGTATGGGTTGCTTTGTATCTTTCGTAAGTATCCGGTCTTTGTGTTCTAAATTACGTACGGACCATAAATATTTTGAGAGCGTGTTACGGTATTATGCGATATACTGGTCGTGTTTGGTGTATCTATTACAACAGATTATATATTATAATTTAATAGATTATAAATTATAATTTTAATCAGAAATTATTAATCTGTTTGGTATAATTGTTGGATTATAAATTTAAGTTACTGAGTAGTGTTTATTAAATAAGTTGTGAAGTAATTTTTTTAATTAACTTTTATTTTTTATTATTCACTATTTGTCTATATTTCTCATAAAAAATAATAATAATATTTTATAGTCCATTTGAGTCTTTTTCTATTTTTAAAAAAATAAAAAATAAAAAAATCTAAGAGTATAACCGTAAATTAACATGTCCACAGCAGAAGCTGATAATCAGAAGTAAGGGGTGAGTAGCTTCTCAGAATTAGCTTTTTTGACTTAAAATAAGTTGATAGAATCAGAAGCTGTTTGAAATAAGTTTTACTAAACAGTCCAAAATAACTTTTTAAAAGCCAGAAGTCATAAGTTGGCTCAAAAAAGTCTCACCAAACACCCCCACTGTGGGCTTGTCCCGAGCTCGTGTCATGAATCCGATTTATTTGTATTATAATATTTATTGAATAAATTACCTATAAAAAAAAATAAATTAATTGATTATCTATAATTTTAAAATAAGATCACATTTATTTTTTAAAAAATAAATAGTTAACGTAATTTTAATAATTTATTTTAAAATAGTTACGACTTGATCACAGGATTACACATGTTTAATTAACTTGAATTTTACATAAATGATATATTCGACGAATTTTACAATATGAATGGTTTAGATAATCAAAATAGACTCGAAATAATGGTCCAATGGACCGCACAGTATGGTGAAGGCACAACACGCACCCTATGGCCTTTTAGACTTTGGCTCTAGGAAATTTTATTTCCACACACTCTTTGATCTCTGTGCATATCATATCTCAATTTACATACTTATGATTTTGATTATATATTATATATTATTCTCATTTCATAGACTACGTATTTCAATTATAACCCCAACTCAAATCTTGTACACACACCACTTAAATAAAATTGGGACATTTACACACAAGTCCTGATTTATGAACTTATGCTCCATTAAGTCCTAATTAAGATTTTTTCGAGCTTAAAGTCCCATTAAATTTTTAATAGTCAAAACTGTCCTTCAAACAATGATTGTTCATCATTTATGATTATCTATAAAGGAACATGGTGATTTGACATTTATTTTGATTTTCAAAACTTTAAAACTATCAACTTTCAAATTTGAAAAAAACTATAAAAAAAAAAAAATTATGTACCAA